ATGACCTTGATGTTTTACCGAAATTTCAAAAGAGTGATCTCTCCCAAAAGAGGATTAGAAGAAGGATATGGAAATAACGAACAGTATTCAATCTCAACGTCCATTAAACAAATATACAAAATAAGAGCAGAGCAAACACGGACCTCCGAAACATCAGAGGTGGGATCAGATGCCATGGAGGAGTGAGCATCCCCTGCCGACCGGTCACGACCCACTATGTAAAATGAAGTAGGAATTTAGGAAATAAGGGGCTTTTTGCATTGAAAAAAAACCCCGCCATTTTTCCGCCCCCCATTTGATCTCCTGAGGGAAAATCAAAATTCCAAAACCTTACTGCACATCTACATGACCCCCACAACCATCTCCCAATGATTAGGCTGCTGAGTAAAATGTTTGGCATTTTTTAGACTACCATTTGATCCCCCAGGGCAAAATCCAGATTCCGAAACCTTACTGCACATCTACACGACACCACCAACCACCTCTCAAAAGATGATTAGGCTGCTGAGTTAAATGTAAGGGAAGTTCTGAAGGAGACAATATATATTGGTGAAGTGTCCGTAAAATCATCGTCGGAAGCCCACGGCTGATTACGCTTCGTTCCTCTCTCCATCATCAACAATTATGAGGAATGTTTGGTCGTGGAAACAGTGAAAGAATATGTTAGGAACACACGGTTAGTAATATTTTGAGATTACAAATTTAAAAACATGGAGAAATAAATCGAGATCCGAGCGCACATTTTTGTGCGCAATAAATATACAGTTTTTTCAATGGGTGGCACTCTTTCTCTCCGGTCAATCAATATATTTTTTCGGAGAGCTACAGATCTGCAGCTAATCCAAACTGGACTCCGCTGAAATTCTTGAAATGTTATCAGCTTTCTATATAATTTATATATGAGTGTAAATAGAAAATATGCTAACATACATGTTATCCATTGATTGAGACATTAGTTTATAGCACAATTTAGGCGGAGTTCAACGTTAAAACAATCCTAGTAGTTTCTTGTGACGAGTCATTCTACCACTCGCTATAAAGCAGGATGATTCAAGGGTTAGTAAATTAGATATATGTTATATAGAATAATTTTTTTAACCACATGTAGATTTCATGGAGCTGTACAATATACAGCTTAAGTAATTATCATTGAGGGAGTCAGCAAGATTCCAGTTCCTCAAAAGCAAGTCTATTTCCCGATGCGCTAGCGCCGAGGGAAAAAGGCTTGCTCGAGGGGAACTCGAGCATAGGGGAAGAGGGGACCTAAGAATAGGGGGCACCGGGACTTGAAACAATTTTAGGAAATTCGGGTACATGTATAAAAGTGTAGGTTTGGACGGCACTATTGCCCTGTTCACACGACGAGTTTAATTCGCAGTAAATTAATGTGCCATCAAAAACATTCTAAAAAAATTGATCAGCCACTTCCAACATCAAGCTGCACGAGACATCTCGACTAGCTGTGACGTCATACGTCATGGAGCTCGTCGGAGCCAAATGGAGTTCCTTGGATGACTTGTACCTCGAATATTTGAATGGAGCGTCAGCCGAGAATTGCCGATTGCGTTGGAGCTTATGGAGACAGCCGAGCATCTGTTTGAAACTATAGATCTACTAGTGTAATTTTGGTTGAAAAACATTGTAGAGTTATTCTTTTTTTTGTTTTTTTTGAAAGGTTTCTACAAACTGATCTAGCTCTTTACGCTTTACGTTATTATTATTTATTTTCGCAAAGGACTTTGGGTAGTGCAGGAATTCAGGGAATATTTTACAGAGAAAGAACGAGGGCGCTTTTGATTGGCATTCGGCAGGAACCTGGGCGTACTTGAAAAGTGAAAATTTTATTGACATGTCACATGAAATTTTAACATTTTTTTTAATTTATCGGATTCCTGTGCAATAGGAACGGAAAATATTTTCCTGAAATTGAGCTTTGATTTGCTAAAAAATAACTTGAAAATTGGCCATATCACACATTTGGTACAGTCCCTGAAACGTTCTACTTTCCCACCTGAACGGTGAACGAACGCTGAACGAACGGTGAACGAACGCAGAGCGAACGGTGAACGAACGGTGTGTGAACGCTGAACGCAACTTGGTGAACGATGTGTGAACGGAGAACGGTGAGTGAACGCAGAACGCGAACGGAGCGCAAACGGTGAACGGTGAACGAACGGTGAACGCAAGATGAACGATTTATTCGGGATGCCTCAGATTTTTTCCTTGCATTTAAATTATTCTGTTATATTCTAATATTAGATGCTAAAATATAAATAAACAATAAATAAATAAGTGAATAAATAATTAAAACAATTTTTTCTGCACATATGTATGCTGTTTTAAATCAATATTTTAATAACACGATTTTTATTGCCGTAAAACATGTGTGTTTGTTACCGAACACCTGTCGTATAAAAAATAAAATTAATTTAATAATAAAATAAATCTGCTTATTCTTTTCACTATTAAAATAATGTCGACTTCAGAAGAGAAAACTACTATACTTGCAGAATGAATAATTAGATTAAAACTAAATAATATATATTTCGATGTCACGGCGATTCCGTGTAAAATACCGATTTTTTTTTTATATTAATTTATAAAGGCCTGTTGACATATTGCACCATTCACTCGTATTAAATTTTTTTATGTAATAATATTATATATTTATTAGTTATTTTTATTTTGTCTGGTTATTTTCTAAGCTAAGTTTTACCTGTAAATGTATATCTGAAGACATTTCCCGACCATGATTATATACTCGGACAAGATAATGGATAGAAGCATTCAAATTATTTGTTACATTAGAATTTCAGAACTAAATAAATAATAAATATGTTGTCATAGTTTTTATTAAACATGACAAATGTAAAAGCGATAGAAACTTGATTGAGAGAGAGAGAGAGAGAGAAAGAGAGAGAGAGAGAGGGAGAGAGAGAGAGAAATTTGTTGCATGGAATAAAAATTCATATATTAATTTTTTTTCTAATATTCCAGGCAGTCAAAGTTATCATTTTTTTTATTAACAAATCCATTTGACAGTAAGCATTGGTTTTTTTTTCTTTCAAGTTCAAACGATTCACTCCAAGTACACGTGCTTGTCCTGTCAATCAAAATAATTCGACACAATGGAGGTGTTTAAATCTCGCTTCACCGAACATGCCGAAGTCAAAGAGTCACTTCGTATTCCCGAGAAGTTTTAACATTTTGTTTACATCATTTTTAAAATTGATTTTCGCTTTTCTACGGAAAAATGAATAAATAATTGCAATACATGTATATACCTGGAAGGATTAAGTTTGAAATTGAATTTAAAACATAATCCCTGCCAAATCAAAATACCACTGTCGGCACATGTACATGTATGTATATAATGACTGTTTTGATGTTTGTATAAAGAATAATTTTTTCTGGGTTACATGTACAATACACATTGAATATTAATTAATATATACTGAAAATACTAACTAAGAATTTGATTTCGGGAGAAAGGGTGCCGGGGGGGGGGGGGGGGGGGGGGCTGTTAATCAACTGAATGGCAAACGTATATTTAGTTACTTGAAGGAAGGTTTTTTTCCTTTGTAATGATACACTTCATATACGTGAACCAAAATTCTATTGTATTAAATTTTAAACAGTTTGTCTTTTCTAAAATTTAAAATCACACTAACAATTTAATTCGCTCTACAAATATTTAATTAACTGAATAGCTGTAGTACTATTCATAATTCTCAAACATGTATATAGTTCTATTTTTTTTTGTTTATTTTTTCTGTAAAAACTTGTTAGACATATTTTTTTGTGTATTCTTGTCTTGTAAAAGACTTGGATTATTATTCATCTATTAACAATTTTTTGTCGTCTTTTATATTATAACGAAATACCGTGCTTTAAGTATTTGTTTAGGGACATTGCCCTTATTTAAATTTAATATTTTAGCATCGTTCTATTTACATGTATTTTCTTAATGTATTTTTTCCAGGGAAAAATGGATAAAGTAACAGCTAAGTTATAATGATAGAAATATATGTATATCGTAGATACTTTTTGCATTGAAATAATTATTCTTCAAACACGATATCTTAGTTATTTAAGTACTGTTCCACATAAGAATCAGGCAGATAGTACTAAAAAGCCGGTACAGTGAAAATCTGCAAATTCATTAAATCTGATTTAAATGTATTCATTTGGGTCTAAAATGAATGATAAGTAATGATTTTGCTGTAATTCTTCTTTCATCACCCAGCTGGGGATAAATTTGTAAAGGGGGGTGTTCTGTATACATTGTATGTAAATAGTGTATATTTCATGCAATAATTTCCTTAAAACCCAACAGGATTTGGAAAAACTAAATACATGAATACAATAATGATGAAAAGTAGAAATAAAATATACTTTAATATTTTTGTGCAAATGAATGATTGCAAAGTTAAAGGGTTATCAAATAGTGCAATTTGCTATAATTCTTTGTAAAAATTATCTCCCTTGGGCAGATTTCATAGGTGGCGCTAGTAAAATAAAAATGGCAGCCTCCATGGCAGATCGCTTTGCAAAATTGTATTGGAGCAATGTGCATTATTTATTGCAAATTTCTGAGTGAACTGACATAAATTGCATAAAAGGACTTCACAAGAACAGAACTATGGATGCAAGCACGTGTAAACGAAGTGAAAAATTTGATGAGAGATACGGTGAAGGTGAGCTGTAGCAGCAACTTGTGTCTAGCATGTCTATGGAATTACTATACTCCTATTGATCAAGGTGATGACATTTTTTTCATACTGCCGGTATCAGTATGAACACTGTCAGAAGTTCAACTACAAGGCCCTCCATCTGAATGCAAAAGTAAGCCCATGGAGAGACCGTCCACACCGCTTAGGCACTTACTCAACTTGGAAGGTGAGATCAATGTAGTTTTGAAAGAGGTTAAATATAATTTTTAGACAAAATTGACTTTTTTAAAAAATGATTATTGATTACACTTTAAACAGTAATTTAAAAGTAATATGTTGACGGTGCGATCGTTAGAGTGAGCGCAAACTCTCCAATTGTTTTAATTTAGATCGGGCTCGTCAAACTGCACGTGACATTTGGTGCGTCTAGACTCTGACGTTGTATGTGAGTTACAAATACCAAGAAAAAACTGAACAGTACTGAAAGTTAATGAAAAAAAAAGTAACGTTTACAATTTATCTTCAATATGTATCCATTTAATCAAGGCGAGTAAACTTTTTGTTGAACATCTGCCTATATTCTCGTGAGAACGCAACTTTGCTAAGTGATGCATTGTGGGTCAAAATTACTGCAGCAAAAAATTCTAAAGAATACATGTGCAGTCATTAGAGCTCGCAGTTACGAGCATTGCTTTGCGACACTTGCTGCGCTCGCTATTACGGGGGGGGGGGGGGGGGGGGGGGGGCTGAGCTGACCAGTTCATTTGGATTTGAAACATAAGCATAGTACATGTACACATTCGCCCTTGATGCCGTTTGCTCTTATTGTGGTTCGCCTTGAGTCTGCTCACTCTAAAAACAAAATTTTTAACACTTGCTCCATTTGCGCATATGTTAGTTGGATAATACTCATAATTTCCTTTGATTTTTTTGAATTTTGGTTTAAATTATAATTTATTTTCAGAATTAAAAAAAGATATTTTTGTAATCGATGTGATAAACATTAATTTGAATTTTTATATAACCATTCAGTAAGGTACATTTAATATTAAATGAGAAATAAAAGATTCTAAAAACTATATTTATTGTCAACATGGTCAATGGTTTCATGGTTAACGTCACTCTCAATTTCCTGAATTATTTTCAAAACATACATGCTAATATGAACCCTTAAAAACTAACAAAGAAGATGTTCTCTTACAGTAATGACAAAATTAACAGCACTTTAACCAAATGAGTCTTTAAATAATATTAAAATCGGAAATAAAGTCAATAAGTATAGATGGAAAAAAAGTAGATTATCTTTTAAAAAACAAAAATGACTAAAAATCTAGGGATAATTAATGATATGAAGAAATATTTACAATAGAGCGATCAGGATCTATGGCGAACAGGACATAAGGACGAATAAGAACAAACCCTGCACAAACAGACTCGCCCGAACAGGTAGATGATGCAAACGGACCTGATACCTACTTCTGTAAAATGCAATTGTTGTAAATTCTGGCCAGATTAAAGGTGTTTGAGGGTAATTTCTCAAGTATTTGATGATGCAGTCCATTAAGACATTATTGTGTTCACTTCTATATTAAAAAAAAGTGAATAATAATAATATGATTTTATAGACATTTTAAAAGGAACATATTTTCTTTTTTTATTTAGTGTCTTGAAAATTCCAGGCATATGCAAGCAATGTAATGCCAAGTGACTGAAACAGAAAAGTTGTATCTCAAGTCTTGAACTAGAAGATGACAAAACATTTCAATGGTAAGGATCAGTCTGTGTTGTATGTAGAGATACAATGTATGCATGTATGCTTAAATTGATGTATTCAAAATTAAGCAACACATGCTTGCACTTTGCACTGTATTCATTTATGTGATTTATTAACTGCAGGAACTTACTGACTTAGTATTGACGGGGGGATCCCCCTTTGTTTTTACTACATATAAATGAAATGTTTATTGAAAGTCCAGGCCCCTCTCCCATCCAATACATAGTGACACACACACCCATGTTATACAGTTGGAGAAATTTAGTACATGTATTTGAGTGGACAATTTGAGATTAGAAGAGGAATATTTCAACCAGCCATCCCTCACCTTCTAACACTGACAAACACACACAATTGACATTTAAAAGGTTTTATTTTTCCCCCCCCCCCCCCCCCAAAAAAAAAATAAATAATAATAAACAGAACATATCAAAAAATCCAAAAAAAAAATGGTGCAATGTCAGTGAACTGTGTTTGTCAATTATGGCATCGATTGCCTACATCAAAGATGCTAAAAATAATATTCTCTGTTTTGTATGAAATTTTACACAAACAGTGCTACTACATGTGTCATTTGTACATTAAGAAGCCATTCAACTGCATCAACATTGAAATTGACTTCACAATCACATTCCTAAGATTAGTGATTTGTGTTTAGCCCAGTTTCACAGAAAATATTCATGATAGTTTTATGAAAGGTTATTTGCAGATTCATATTGTTGAGAGCATAAATATTTTTATCATGTTTTTTACCATGACTTTGAGTCTTTGACTTGGTCATGCAGGTCCATTTACATGTTTGTTTGAATGAATATTTGTTGTGACCCAATAAATTGTACACGTTTCATAATTTCTATTTAAAATAAAATTTCATTATTCTTATATAACTTATTCAAATGTAATAAAGCAAATGCAAGATAAATATTAGTCCCATGATAAAAGAATTCTCAATACCGACTCCTAAATTTTAATATTGATAAACCTTTTATACAATAAATTTCAATTGTTTGGTGATATTGATAACCTTATTATTTCAGAAATCTCTGGAAATGACATCATCAAATAAACAAAGACTCGGGTTCAGAGGACCAGTTCAACACTTTGGATAAAATTTATCAGGCAGTGACTTTCTTCTTCGACTACAATGCATTTATAAGCACTAAAGATTGCAGTTTTATGTCTCGGTATAAGACTATAAGAGACTACTAAACAAATGGTAGTTGTTGATTTCAAAAGAAAAACTGTGTTGAATTTTGATATTCTGTTAAACATATTTCCCAGTAGTCAGGTTTAAATGAAAAGATTTATTTTTCATGAATTCAACTTTGTTGAAATTTTTTGAAAGTTATTTGAATTTATGATCAACCTGAATGGCAAACATGTGTGATGTGTGAAAAATGTTGCTCAGATCATGAATATATTTACATGTACTAGTTATGAGTGTGTGGTGATGATTGAAATGTATTACATGTACAAAAAGGACAACATAAAATATATATCAGTGTGTAAATAAAAATCATGTTGTATATTATACAATTTAGGAAACTTTTTTTCATCACTTTAATTATTTTTCTAATTGAAGAATACAGTATTCTCTGACCTCAAAAACAGCATCAGATATTGGTTATTTTCAGGTTTTAGCACTTTTGGATTATCTCCCCTTTTCAGTAAAATAGAGCATTTTAGTGGGCAGACATAAAAATTATTACATTGATTAACTGGAAAAAAAGCATAGAATTGTGTTGTATTTGAACTTGAAAATTAAAAACAATTGTTTTGAACTGTAAAATTCATTTTACATGCAGGCATCTACGGCGTATACTGGACGTTGACATAGAAAAGTAAAATCGCTCATTTTTGTTAGAAATTCACCCCCCCCCCCAACTCACCCCCAATATTAATACATGCAATAATTTACACAAAAATGTTTTAATTTCATATACCATTGAGTATGATGTCTTTTGAAAAAATGCAACTTTTTCTGTTGGCTGTTTGATTTTTATATTTTTGAAAAAGTGAAAATCCTCTAAAATCTATATTTTTGTTTTTTTGCATATTTAGGTTATCTCCCCTTTGCCAGTATAAACTTAGAGAGATTTTACAGGGCATGAGTATGACAATATTTATTTTTGAAAAAGATACCTGTATTTTTTGTTAAAATAAAAAGATTTTTTTTAAGATTTGTATTCATTTCAGTTGTATACCCTGTACATGTATTTCTATGGCATATGGACTTTGACAGAATAGTATTAAAAATTTTTCTTTTTTGTCCAAAACTCATCCATAATTTTCAGATGTTCATGATAATTTGCGCAAAAATATTTTTATATTTTTATAAGCTTCAGTTTATGATGTCTGTGGAAATAGTACAGTCTTTTAATTTGAGTTTTGTTTTTTTTTTATTTTTTGATAGCTGAAAATCTCCTAAAATTGATATTTTCATGATTTTGCATATTTTGGATTATCTCCCCTTTTCAGTTCAAAATTAGAAAGTTTCACTGTCCATGGAAATGTTTTGTTAAATTGCTAAAAGGCACTTGTTTTGTTGTATTTTGAGTTAAAAATAATAAGAAATTGTTTTGAAATGTAATATTAATTTCAGATGTATATATCTATGGCATATACTGGACTTTGACAAAAATAGTGAAACTTCTCTTTTTTGTATGAAAATCATCTATAATTTTCGGATATTTAATATAATTTGCACAAAAATGTTTTTATACTTTTGTAAGCCACATGGTATGGTGTATTTGGAAAAAACATAATCTTTTGATTTGGCTGTTGGGTTTTTATATTTTTTAATAGCCGAAAATCACTTTAAAATCAATATTTTCATGTTTTTGCATTTAAGCATTATCTCCCCTTTTCTGTCTAAAATTAGAACACCTTACTGGGCATAATTATATTACAATTATTTATGACAAGTTACTAGTTGAGCTGTATTTTAATGAGAAATAAACATAATTGTGATATCTTTTCCTATCTTGTTTTAATTCAAACTTAAATATTGGCAATTTTGCATAATTTTTAAGAGAATTTCAGTCATGATAGGCCGAAAAGGGTATTTCTGTTGCCATGGAAACCACACGCTGATTTGATAAAAAATAAATTTATTTTAGGAAGTCACTAAGTATACTCTACCAGCATGCAAAGTTTTTAAAAAATCTGAGACACCTCATGTGCCGCCCCCTGCCTGATTCTTACGTGGAATAGTACTTAATTGAAAAACGTGTAAATCCTTACCATCAAAAAGATAAGTCCTTTCACTTCGGAGTTCCGAATGATAATAAAGACTGAACGATAAGTGAACGGTGAACGCAAGGTGAACGCAAACTAAACGGAACGAAGAGCGAACGGTGAACATTTTGTGAACGGTGAACGCGAGCGCACGGTAAACGGTGAACGCAAAACTGTGAACGGAGAGCGAACGGTGAACGCACGCTGAACGAACGGTGAACGCACGCTGAACGAACGGTGAACGAACGGTGAGCGAACGGAAAAATGGGAAAGTAGAACGTTTCAGGGACTGTATAAAATGGTTCATTTTTAAACACATTTTTTCGAAAAAATTTTCTATGTCTGGGTCTTCTCTCCATGCTTTTAAAACGTTATTATGTTCCCCAAACGAAGTTGGGGAACATATTGTTTTTACTCTGTTTCTTATTATTATTATTATTTTTCTTCTTCCTGGGAAAATTTTGTCCACGAGTGATCTTGTAAACTACACATCCGACTAAGGTAAAATGTTTTTAGGGTCAGTAGACATGTTATGTAGATTTGCCGAACGAAGGTCATTTTGCGCGCACGTGCTTGCAAGAGCGCGCACGTGCAACACGTAAAATGACCAATAAAATGGATATTGCTGTAACTTTTCTTTCTTTTGATGAATTTTTTTGAAACTCATAATGTAAGGATACATTAGTAGTATAGACATGATGGCATGCTCAAAATAGCAAGATCTCACGCGCATGCACGTGCGCTTCGCTCTGATTGGCTGAAACTAAAGTCTCAATATCTTTCTTGTTTTTTGTCATAATCTTTTGAAATTTTTAACATAGTCCTACATTATGAAGATCTACAGCATGATATATAAAATTTTTCATGAAAGCATGCGCATGCGCGCGTGCTGCAATCTGATTGGTTGAAACTTTAAATGGCTATATCTCCTTTGTTTTTTGACGAAATGCTTTGGAATTTAAAACAAAGTCATGCATTAGGATATCCTAAAATATCGTATAGAAATAAATCATGAAATCACATGCATGCACGTGTGCTGCAATCTGATTGGCTGAAACTTTATATGGCTAAATCTCCTTTGATTTTTGACGAAATGTTTGGAATTTTAAAATATAGTCATTCATTTAGATATCCTTCAATACGATAAAGATAAAAATTTATGAAATCACGCGCATGCATGTGTGCTGCAATCTGATTGGCTGAAACTTTAAATGGCTATAACTCCCTTGTTTTTCAACCAAACAGGATGGCATTTAGAACATAGATAAATATAAGGGACTCCTACAAGAAGTTGTAGTCATTATGCACGTGCGAATTAGTGTATTTTTTAATACTTTTGGATTAAATGCTTTGATATTAAGTTAAGTATATTAAAAATTTAGATAGTGTAGACAAGATAATATGGTCGTTACGCACATGAACTCGTGTGCAATGCCTATTTTTAGATATATTTTGTATTTTTCTGGGAAGACCTTGATTAAGTCTAAATTCCATAAAGTATTTCTTATCTAATAGAGATAACAGGGAATATGGCACCAAAAGGGAGTTGGGGAGCGTTTGGGGAACATCTGTAACGGTCCCCGTTACAATTAGCACTAGTTTGTGTGTATTTTAAATCAAAGAAAAGAATACACTTTTTAAAAAAATGGATAGAAGACCCAGAGACCACGAAAAATGAACTTTTCTCCAAAAAATCAAAATGTGTCAATGTGGAGCGTCTTTATCCTTTTAAAAACGTTTGCTAATGTGAAGCGTTGATAGCTCAATTAGTTAGGCTACCTGTTCAGTACACTCGAAGCGAGAAATTTTTGGTTCGAGTCTGGCATGGGGAATTATTCTTTTTTTTATTTAGGCAAACAACCATTTATTTTGTCAGTTTCGTTTTATGTACTGATGTATTAAAATTTTGAATAAGATGAATTCTGGTTCAGTTTGGTTCTCAAGCAAAATCAATTTTTATCTTCTATGTTAATAGTATACATGTACACATATCATCCATCTATGCATTAAATATTTTAGGTTTAATTTTTTGTGAAACATTACTTTGTTATAGTACCCCCTAGCAAAATATGAACACAAATGTTACAAATTCACAATGTCTTTCAAAGTAAATGAAAAAAATAGCCCATGGACGTGTTTGTAAAAATCTGACCAGGTATGTTCAGCCAACCAAATCATGGACATTTAAACCATAAATGTTTCGTACAAGTGATTCCTGCAGATGACCCACCAAATGCACCCATCTTCTTTGGCTGTGGTATGTAGATTTCAATGCGAATTTCCTTTATTCTTACACACTAGTCCCCAATTGAACCAAATATAGCATAAATACTTATGTATAACCACCAATACGTGTCCTATGACTTAATCCTGGCCGAACGCATGCGTCAAAAGAGCCATAGCTGCCTTACCGACGACTTGGCCTACACAAGTATTTAAAAGGAAATCACCTGTTTCTATTTATAGATACATGTACCTTTTCAAATCAAAATCAATCCACATGTATGAAAACATTTGTGAACCAGTGTTATATTTTCATAGTTGCAAGTTTGTTGCATGACAGTAATTTTGTTTGTCCAATACTTTTATTCTAAACAAGATTGTTTGAAAATTTTAAAAATAAAACAGGCTAGCAGCTACGATTCTGGATCATTAAATTAAGACTGTTTTTCTCCAAGATAAACTTTCAATGTGTAATGCTGCATTATATATCTCTTTTAAAAATTATTTATACAAGTATTATAAAATAATAAAAGAAAACATAGGAAAATGCACACGAGAAAAAAAAATAAAATCGTAATACACGCACAGTGAGACTCGAACTCACGATCATACTATCTTTAATCTAGCAATCATACCACTATGCCACGAAGTATTGGCAATCACTAGGATAAAATTAAGAGAAATTGTTGAATTTTGAAATAATATTAGAAGACAAATTAAAAACTTATTTTCAACATTTTCAATATAAAGTCCACCTTTAACCAAAATTATCTAAGCGTAATGAAGTGCAGTCGTATCCAAATAAAATTATTCAGAAGTTGTTTTTCTGGTTAAGGTGGTCTTTAGCTACAGTTTCACATTGTTAAGGGGGGTACCTCAGTATTTACTATATTCTCCATATAAACTGAACGATTTTTATATCTATCATATGAGGGAACTATCAATATTTGAATATTATTTTTGTGTGATTTGCTTTAAGGCATGTATAAACTAACATTGTATGACAAAAAATTGGTTAAATAATGTATTTAAAAATCACTACTAGAGTAGGCGAAAGTGACTATCAAATGCGCTATGGCTCTTTAATTCGAATTAGCTTCGCTTAGCGATTACACGGAGCTAATGCGATCAGTTATTTAATGCACAGTAAATTAATTCGAATTAAACTAATTCACATTAAATTCTCTGTGTGAACGCTAAGAAAAGCTTATTCGCAGTAACTTAAAGGTTTAAATTCGAATTCAATTCTCCGTGTGAACAGCTAGGACATCAAACTGTAGTCATCCGAAAACGTGTTCTGTTACATTTTGCGTGATTACATTTTGCGTTTGATTTCGATGCAAAATGTTATATAACATTTTTGAAGAAGTTGTTCCATTATATCACAAATATAATATTTTTATCCATATGCCCTGAAAAACTGCCGAATCACGACGGATACAGTTATATAACATTTTTGAATAAGTTTTCCCATTATATCACAAATATAATATTTTTATCCATATGCCCTGAAAAACTGCCGAATCACGCCGGATACAGTTATATAACATTTTTGAAGAAGTTTTCCCATTATATCACAAATATAATATTTTTATCCATATGCCCTGAAAAACTGCCGAATTACGTCGGATACAGTTATGTTCCCCGGAAACAGTTATGTTGCCCTCCCGAACACAGTTATGTTCCCTCGCGTGCAATCATTCCGCATATTAATTACGTCGGGTTCGAATTTCACAGAGGCAGTTGCTAAGCAAACGTAAACAGTTCCGCGAAAGTTAAAAAGTCGAGACAACGTCTGCAATTTGATTATTTGAATTCAGAGGAATTAGATAATTTAATTGAGGAGAAAAATTCTTTTGATACAACGAAGTTTATCAACACAAGTGTCAGCATACTGAAAACATTCTGCCATGAAACAGGACGGGATATTTTATACTCAACATGCTCAATGTACATAGAGATATCATGTAACATGTGTACATAGTGTTCAATAAATATTTTCGATGATCGATTTGGGTTCAACGCTTAAAAATGTTATATACCATATATTACATGGCTTAATTCTCGGGCAGCAATACCAGAATATTTGCCCCTCGGTGACAGGAAAGCCCTGCCTGCGGCATCGGGCGACATAACACTCCAAGGCTTTCCTGTCACCTTGGGGCAAATATTCTGGTATGCTGCCCTCGAAGCCATGTAATATATGTATAATGTTCGCCGGAAACGGTTATGTTGCCCTCCCGAACACAGTTATGTTCCCTCGCGTGCAATCACGCTGCATATTAATTACGTCGGGTTCGAAATTCACAGAGGCAGTTACTAAGCAAACGTAAACAGTTCCGCGAAAGTTAAAAAGTCGAGGCAACGTCTGTGATTTATTTATTTGAATTCAGAGGTATTAGATAGGCCTAATTTATTTGAGGAGAAAAATTCTTTAAATACAACAAAGGTTATCAACACAAGTGTCAGCATACTGAAAACATTCTGCCATGAAACAGGACAGGATATTTTGGAATTATACTCAACGTACATGTATCTATATCATTATGTGAACATAGTGTTCGACAAATATTTTCGATGATCGATTTGGGTTCAATGCTTAAAAATGTTAAATACCATATATTACATGGCTTAATTCTCGGGCAGCAATACCAGAATATTTGCCCCTCGGTGACAGGAAAGCCCTGGAGTGTTATGTCGCCCTCTGCCTGCGGCATCGGGCGATACATATATGTTATAAATATTGGGAGGACATCGGGTATATAATAATCACCTTTAGGCAGACGTGAAAAATAAGGCAGACAAAAATGTGTCTGCCTTATTTTATAAGCAATAAAAAGTGATGTGTTCATAATTAATTAACTTTAATTGTCTTATGAATGAAGCAACTTACCATGCCTTATTTAGAGAAGTACTTTGGGTGTTCAATTTTCAATAAAGTTTTTAATGATACGTGATGTAAGTTGTTTGATGTATATATTTGTCAAAACACATCTCATCCTTTAGGTGGACATTTTTCAACTTAATAAAAAACATATTTCTGAAGAGTATGTTTCATATTTTTAAAATTTATTACTCATTTATTATCATTTTTAATCGAATGCTATGTGTGTTTTTAAAAAAAATAATCTTGATTAAAAAATGATATTTTTACTACCGTGTCATATCTTCATCAGCGAGTACTGCTTTTTTCCGAAAATGAGCCTCGGTTCTTTTCGATGGTTTGAATCAACTTCCGAATGACCATCGCTGTTTGAGTGGAAAATTGTAAGTATGTTTTTTTTTCCATATTTTGCTTGCATTTTATTGTATTCACTGAAAATTCTTACAAATTTAATAATTAAATTTGCAATTTTCTGTTCGTGAAGTGCAAATACGACATAGGAAATAGAAATGGAGGAAATATTTCAAGGCATTATAAATTGTGAACATCATGGTCAATGTCAAACAGAATTTGTTTTAAAAAAAAATTAGTTAGAGCCGAATTAATGATTTTAGTGAAAGAGGAACTTTCTATAGAACCTGTGTATTTTTCGGACAGTAGCTTTGGCAATCTCTGAATGGTTATATTTTAACATCATACAAAACATGATGCCTTCATGTTAAGGGCGTTCACATGGTTCATGCACAACAATGAACAGGTGAAATGAGATCATCTTATCCTCGTACTGTGTGCAATATTTATCTGGATAGATACTGAATTATTTTAAGTAATTAAATTAGGCCTAGTCTTTTCATCTTATGATCTTATTACTAGACAGTCTGAGTGTGACATGTTTACAACATATTACTGCTGGTTGCCATGCCTGATGAACAAACTAGGGGAAAAAATCAAATTTTATGAGAAAACTTTGAGTTTTTTCACAAACTTCACAATTTGTTGTTCGTCTAACGTTATACATATTTGTGTCGGGCTCGAAGTTTGTTTGACATCACTCAGTCTCTGGATAATGGCGTCTGTTGACATGCACCATGACTGGCATGAATCGAATAAAGTTGGTAATAATGTTGTCAGAGTGAGAGAATGACTAGAAGGTAAATTTTAGAACAGAATTATCTTATATTGTTTGAGATAAGTGCCATCAATTTATACTGATTTAAGCTGGAATCGGGGGTTGGGTGATTGATTCCCCCACAAAACGTGTCGCAAGTTTGTTTAAAGGCCACTAAATTTCTATCAACATGACCAATAAGTCGTTATATGCTTCATTTTCGTTATACTGGTATCATGGAATTTTCTAAATGGCATTGATACCATGTAGCAAAATCCGGCTACATTGATACCGTGAGTGGTACCTAGGTTTGAGCAGGGTCCACCTATATATACGGCCCTGGTTTGAGGGGAAAACCAAATCCTGTCACATTGATGCCATGACGGTCCCTTGGCAAGAAGGTTTAAAGTCTAGACATACTCTAAAAATGGCGTGAACTCCAAACAAGAACCTTTCACTCTCTCTTTTACTTCGGCCCTGAGGCTCGTTTATGTGTAAAAAAAAAATCTCAGTCCTACTTTGATAAAATTATATGATGACAATATCAGTTTAAAAATACAGGGATGTCGGTCGCTGCCACAATAATTTTGAAAAAAAAATGAATTTTAAAGTAGGTCTACAGTCGCACTACGTTATTTACGAATAGTAAAACCGGAACAACACTTCCTTTTTCCGATATGTGATTTTTTAACTATATTGGTTTGACTTTATATATTTAGCAGCGTTTTAAATAGTAATAATTTTGCTCCAAGTCGCTCGCGAAATAAATTAACAAACGTACAAACACTGAGTGATTCTATAGTTTAAGCCCTGATGAGAAAAAATTGTAATATCAAACAACATTTCTGTGAATGATATATTATGCCCTACTGATAAAACAAATGGGAAATCATGAAAGTCAGGGTGACTATTGTCGGTAGTGTCCGCCAATGTTAAAGATTCTATGAAGTTTTGCCATATAATTTTCATTGTAAAATTTTATTTCTATTAAAAACTTAAAAATTGATGTAATTTTATATGAATATATATAAACATTGTGATTGCTAATGTTCAAACCAATATTTTACATAAAATGATAAATATTATTAATTTTGACCTTTTTGTCACGTAGGGAAAATGCTAAACAGAAACACGTGCAATTTGGGCGATAATTGTTTTCAAATTGACATGAGATATGACTTTACTAATTATAGTGACATTACTTGCGATAATGTGTTACACATGATTGGCTGTTATTTAATTCTGTAATGATATATTGTCAAACCCGTTGTCAACAGGAATGGGTTATATGCATAGTTTTCGTCAAATGGTGGCGTGACGATGGGGGTAAAGCCATGTTGCATCTAGGGGGAAAGCGACCTATATATACGGCCCTTAAAGTCTAGACATACTCAAAAAAAATGGCGTGATTACTCATACGAAACAAGAACCTTTCACTCTCTCTTTTACTTCTGGCCCTGCGCTCGTTTATGTGTAAAAAAAAAATCTCAGTCCTACTTTGATAAAATTATATGACAAAAATCAGTTTAAAAATTGCCACAATAATTTTGAAAAAAAAATGAATTTTAAATAGGTCTACAAGTTACAAAACTAATAGTGTATATTTTTAAAAGATATTTTAAAACCGGATAGGACAAACTTAAACATAATTTTTGAATATATATTTTTTAACTCAAAATTAATTACAGTACATTTAAATATCCGTTAAGATTAAAATAATTATTTCACAAACGACAAATTTACCCATCCCCCTTCAACTGGCATACCCAACAGTGACAATGCAAAATTATCTTTAGGCTAGAATAATTATGATTATATGAAAAAAGTTTATTCACTTGCACCATACTTACTTTCTGTAACATAAGCATCCAGTTTGTGAGAATCAGTCAATCACGCCCATTTTCATTGTCTCCAATTTACAGACAATTGGTGTTTTAATGTTTTACAGTATTATAAGATAAATTTTAGGGACAATAGGTATTGGGTGTGTATTATCATTGTTTTAAATATGTACAACTTTTTAATACAAGTATACACTCAATCTTTAACAGTACTACAGGAAAATGTGGCAATATATTACTTTTGGAAGAATGAAATTATGGGGGTCCCTTTAGTGTAGAGCTCATACCATGAAAAGTAATGCGTCAACATATAATTTTTTTGGCTTATTCTTTTTCTTAAATGTTGTTTAGTAAAAAGAATGCAATTTTTAAAAGTTTGAGTCCATAATTTTTTCTAAAATGACCGAGATTGACCTGTGAAGCATATTTTCTCATACCGGTATTTCATTTTGATACGTTAGCCTAACAAAGTGCAAATAATTACGGTATAGTAAATCATGCAAATCAATGATTATATATGGTTTACTAAAAGGTTTCTACTCCATTTTTTGTATTTAAGTTGAATAATTAGACTTTAATTCATTTAAATGCATCAAAATCTAGGATAGGTAAATTTCAGCATTTTACATTTCGGGGTATGTACTCCGATAGGCAATAGCAGAAAGGTGAACATGTTGACATATAATTTTTCGTGTGTCTATATCCATTGCTGGAATGTATATCTAACTTATAAAAGCAGATTTTTTAAGATTGAGCCCATTTAGTGCAGAGTGTAGAACTACCTTAACTAAGAAGAACAGAATCACAAAATTTATATTTGCAATATCTGTGATCAAGTAATTTGATATTTATGTCCCATATAAGCTGGACTAGCTGGCAATCAAAAATGGAGGATATACATAGTAATCATATACATGATATATGAAAGATCATGCATCCTGGCCCTAAATTTACACAAGCTCACTTTTGGTCATAGTCTCACTTTTACCTAAGGAATTAATACAATGAAGAAAAGGGACTGATCAAGATAAAAAGTGAGTTTATATAAGTTTTATGGCCCCAGGTCAGGTCCGTAGGCAGGAATTGTGTCCCCTCATTAATTTTGTTGGTAAAAACATATTAAGAAAAGAAATCAAGGATTGTTATATGCCGGGGTCCCCTCAACAGTTAAATCTTTTTTTTGGGGGGGGGGGTATCAAGAAATTTTTGTTTTGTGCCCAATAATCCCCCCATATGAGATTGCTTCCTTTAGGCCTGAAAAAGAGAGGAAAAAAGCAAGAATTATATCATACGCCTAACGGTTATTAAAATAATTAAAAAAAAATATTGTTTCTGAGAAATTTTTCTACATACTAAGATTAGACTGTTTGAGTAAGATCTCTTTGTTTAAAAAATGGCCGTAGCACCTCTTTCGTTTAAATTTGATTCGGATTCTTAGTCCTACTTTCTTATTCAAACTCTCCATTCTTCTTATAGTTGTTAATAAAAAATAGTAATAATTAAGTCTAGGGTAAAACATGATTCAAAATATCAGATAGATTCAAAATACACGATGTACAAAAAGATGCAAACAGGTCGGTAAGAAACAATTTCATTTGAGGATGGGGGCAGCCATAAATTTTCAGTTTGTGTACTATCAACCAAATCGCCCCCAGCACCCTGAGAAAAGTTCTCAGTTGTTTTTATTGAGGGGGCACAAAAGTTTAGCGGCCATGTTTTCTTTAGTTTTCTACATATCGGCAACATTATTGGGGCATGCCCTCCCCCCTGTGCCCCCTGCCATCGGTTCCTATGGGAATGAATAAAATAAAATAAAACTGGAAAATATAAAAAATAAGTTAAAATTAAAATGAAGTCTTTAGAATTTATTTAGTTTGAAAAACAAAAATTTTAGATATGAAAGAGGAATTAAATAAGAACATTAAAAAAGAATTGTGGCACTTATGCCTTACCATAGTTTTGCATCAACAAAATTCAACAAACATATAGACTTTACATTTGTAGACTTGTGCATTGTTTTTGTATTTCATTCAGAGCGTGGAAATATATAAATTCCGGAAAACAAAGTTTACAACATCATTTACATCAAAGATACACACATTCATAGTGTAAATTCAAAGTCAATACAGTTGCATACTTGGATGTCGGGATTACCTACTTACATATGTAAACTACGAAATTGATACGATTACAAGTTTGGATTAACCATTTGTTAACAAATTAATGCAAGTCTGGATTTACAAACTTACAAGTCTGGATTTACAAACTTACAAGTCTGGATTTTTAAACACGATTACTCTTCATACATATCTGGTATGCATACTCCACAAATTAAGCTCTTTCAAATGACACCATGATCAATGACCTTGTGACCTTGACTGTGACCTATATGCTAAAAATAGCTTTTTCAAACTTTCTCCATAACTTTTGAACCATGACTTAAGGGATAGAGACTTCATGTTTGGTATGCATACTCCACTAATTAAGTTCTTTCAAATAACACCAAGGTCAGTGACCTTGACTTCCCAAAGGCTTGATTGATTGATTGTTTAACACAAAGTTGACAATATATCAGCAGATAAACTTAAAGGTACGCTTTATTTAGAAAGAAGATCTATTAACGCAACACGAAATACTTATCCATTAACAATTTTTATTCTTTCAGTGGAAAATTGTAATTGCATTTTAATTGTCATGAGTTAATAAGAGGGATTACTTCACATTTTAGCAATTATTTACCCTTTATGAATGGCTTCATGTTAGAAGAGTCATAATCAAGGTCATCAATAAAACTATCGAAATTAAAATGGCTCTGAATTGAAAATGGTTGTATCGATAGCGCTTTTACATGTACCATGCCTGTTTTGAACATCGGCATAGATCTAAAGAAATCTAGTTGCACAACCTACCTAATGTATTAGTTGCTATTCCCCATCCCCCACCCATCAATCATCTTGCAGCGTAAAAAATTTGACATGTTTTTTTTTTTTATTTAACCTGTACAGTCATATTTTGAGAGCATTGCAACTGTAAATATATATTATCAAATCAAATTTTTTTGGTTGGTAAATTTACGTTGGACGAGAATTCAATATTTACTCAGATGGGTATTTTTCATTCATCTGTTCATAGGAAATACGTGTATATATAGAAGATCCTGCAAACTCTGACTAGTGTAGCAATGAGCCAATGAGGGTGTTTTTTTTTAAAGAAAGAGGTGGTGTTTAATATCAGGCAGTTATAGAATGTATAGGTCACCAATTGATAGACTACGTGTTGAGATCGTCATGTCCTAAGTCCTACGTGTTGAGATCGTCATGTCCTAAGTCCAAGGTGACGTACACCCCACCACTTTACTTGCTATCCACTTTTCAAGCAGGGAAATTGTTCCCAACCTGTCCAAAGACTATTTCTACCTACGTAGCTATTGAGTATTGATATCTTCATAGGTATTTGCACCTGTAGACTCAAAGTAGCTTTTTTACCCACTTTTTTGCTTTATTTACATCTAGTGGATAAACGCAGAAATGGTGCAATATTTTGAGCACCAAATTTGATAATACAGTCATACCAATGATGAATATGATCAAAGGATGTATTCACTTTGACAAAAGAATTGACCTATAGGAGAGAACAATTTTCCAGAAAAAGTGACATTTAAAAATTAATCTTTATTTGTTAATTTCTACCGTATATATGTCTAAATTTTTCAAGTTTGTATTTTATACCTAAAATTTATTATTTACAGCTTTACAATAAACCTCCAAAGTTGGCCGAAACACCATTTTGTCCGTTAATATGTCGATTTTTGCATGAATTTTGGCCTTGAAGTCCTTTCAGGGCAGGCCTGCCCGTAAATAAAATTGTGATATTTTGATAGGTTTGGATGTAAGTAATAATTTGAGATAGGATTTTTTTAACGTGGAACGGAAAACAGCGGAACGGAATGGAAAACGGATTATAAATGTCAAGCAAATAACTTTGATTCGATATAAATCAGACATAAAAAGCAATATTCATGATGTAAGTCATATTTAATGAAAAAATATCGTAAAAGTAATATATTCGTGAATCATTCACTCCTCGGAACTTGCACTTGTACATGCGATGGTCAATAAAATACATACTTTGTGATATATACATGTACTAACTACACTCAAATCCTGAGTATCAATCTGTCAAACGTTTCGTTCAAATTATTTCTTTAAGATAAATAAAAAGGGGTCAAAGTAGGTGCCCTCAGTCACAACAAAAATGATTAATTAAGTAAATCTTATTTTTTTTCTGGTCACAAAAAGGAAAGGGTCTTGGTCCCCTCTAAATCCAATAATTGATTTCGGCTACATAATTATAATGATCAGTTACTGTACTCCCTCGGATTTGATTTAGGCCTAAATAATTTGCACACATTAATGGAATGTTTTATTATAATCACGGATAAAATAGCCTAGACTTAAGAACAGAATTTCAGAGGCAGTAAACATTATCATTAAGAACATTAAGAAGTTAAAAAAAATTAATTATTACATTTTGAGATAAACTCGGGAGATCAATGAAAGGGTTCCTCCTACCTCTACTCGTTAAAAAAAGATTTAGGAAAAACAAATTGTTATATGTATATATTCAGCCCAATGCCATTAATCAGAACGGAAATCGACAAAGTTTTTGTAGAAAAAAAACCAAGCCCGGTCCTATAGGTCAAATCCCTATTTATAATGAAGTGATCCTTTGGCCAACAATTGATTAATACATGAATTAACAATTTTTGAAATTACTTTTACAAAATCCTCAATCATGTTAATCATGCAGAATCGTTTGTGTAATGTAATCGTTTGTGTAAGTTGTCAACAATAATGTCTAAATACTGAAAGTTAAATGCAAAATCATTGATCAACACCTGAATGGTAACTTTTTAATTAGAAATTTTGCTTAAAAAATATATATTAATTTTCAATTAAACAAGTTTTTGTTGCAATTTTAGGGTTCTTCCTCGTGTTTATGAAGTAGGATGGCTGCTTCGTCATATAGGTAAGATCTTTTTACATACATTGTCTTGAGAAGTATAGTCTGTTTTTGAACATGTTCAGCTTCTCTGGAATGCTGATCCAATTTTGGTGTAAACTCTTTATGCAAATGTAATATTAGAGGGAAGCAAATTGTTTAAATGTTCAATTACATGGATTGAATTGCTTTTAACAGTGTTAACTTTGAAAAAACGTGTGCGTACAGACATACAAATTTTGTCACACGCAAAAAGATTTGCATAATTATTGCTCGCCTAGATGTATAAAAGTTACCATGAATTAAAATTTAGATTTATATATTTGATCAGTCTCTTTCAAATTAACAAATTAATGGTATTGGGATCTTTTTTAAGTATAACAAGCAAACGGGTAGAATTTGTCAGTTCGGGGTCAAAGATATTGTGATCTGGACCCATTCATTGCTCATTTCTGATTCTTGAAATTTTGGCACATTCTTTGCTAAAGCATTTCCATTTGCTGGAAGCTATTTTTGTTCAAATTTGATGTCAACTTCTTGTTAATGCATGAGTCTGTCCATACCATACATAAAAAATTTTCGAAGCAGTTTTCTCAGCAACTACTGGTACTCATAATACATTGTAGATCCTTCAAATTTTAGAACACTCTTTCCTGCGGCATGCCACAAATCCCATGTTGACTTACTTTTTCCGTATGTCTGTCTGTAACTGAATGCGTGTTAGTTAACATGATTTTTCACTTTTAAGGAGATGCAGCCACCTCTTGCAGGTGGATAGCTGCAATTTTTTTTTTACCTATAACTGGCACTCATGGCCATTGAAAAGTGAGCGATCTTTTTCGTGCCAGCACCAACTGTGACATGGGACCTAGGCTTAAACAGTCTAGGAACTTCTCCATGTCCCACAGTGGGATTCCTGTGACCTAAGGATCAACTCCTTACGTCATGACTTTAGAGCAGACGCTCTAACCACTGTGTCATGCAGATTACTTGTCATAATTAAAATTATAGTAGAGAATGACTTAAAATGAATCGATTGGTTACTAGATGAAGATGTTAGGCATGATTTTGAAACTAAAAAGGACAAATTGTTCTATATTTAGAAAATATACATCAAGATGTCTGCCTTAGATGGATAATAAAAAGCTGTCTGCCAAAGATGGATTTTTTAAGATATAATATATATATCACTTATAGAATGCTAATTGCACTAGCAGCTTGAAATTTTAGCACATTCTTTGCTTAAAGGCATTGCCATATTCTAGGGTGCATTTTTGATTTACTTTCTGTTTATCCATATGTCTGTCTGTACCATGCATAAACATGATAAAAAAAATTGTCAAGGTTTTCTCAGCAATATTCATTGCAAATGCTTGAAACTTTAGAACATGCTTTGCTGTAATTGCACTTGTGTTTATTATCATGATAGTGTACTGTACATTCATATCAGAGCAGGGGTATTGCTAGTGAGCATTGGCTCAGAAACTTCTTGTGTTGATATCTATTAAATGATTAGGGGTTTATATGTCTGCTTAAGAATGGTAACAAGAAATGATTTTTAAACTCATATTATCCAGTATAAATTATCTTCAACAGTGTCTTATTTGATTGATTGACTGATATGTTTATTAACGTCACTCTGTTAAAGTTTTCACTGGTATGGAGATGCCACCACTTGCAGCCTGTGGAGAGCTTCAAATTTTGTCCTTATAATATTCAGCACTTATAGTTCTTGACCAGTGAGAGGTCTTTATCATGCCAGCACCTACTGTGACATTGGACCTCGGTTTAAACTGTCTCATTCAAAGAACTGGTCTCCATGTCCCAAAGTGGGATTCGAACCTGTGACGTAAAGATCAACTCCTTACTTCATGACTTTAGAGCACATGTTCTAAGCACTGCTTCATGCAGATGACTTGTCTAATATTTATAGTAAAACAGAAAATGACTGACATTATAGAATGAATCGATTGTATACTAGATGAATATGTTAGGCATGATTTTGAAATTAAAAGGACAAATTGTTCTATATTAAGAGAATATACATTAAGATGTCTGCCTTAGATGGATAATATAAAGATGTCTGCCAAAGGTGGATTTTTTAAAAATATAATATACATGTATAACTCCATCTTTATAGAATGCTAATTTCAGCAACTTGAAATTTTAGCACGTTCTTTGCTTAGGCATTGCTATATTCTAGGATCCATTTTTGTTCGACATGTTCAATTCCAATGTCTACTTTCTGTTTATCCATATGTCTGTCTGTATCATACATAATAAACAAAATCTCAATGTTTTCTCAGTAATAGTCATTGCAAATGCTTGAAATTTTAAAACATGCTTTGCTGTAATTGATCTTGTTTTCACCAGTATGCAGATTTCACCACTACCAGGTGGAGAGCTTCATGCAGATGACTTGTCTCATGTATATAGTAAAACAGAGAATGACTCTGACATTTACAATGAATCAATTGGTTACTATATGAAGATGTTAATTAGGCATAATTTTGAAACTAAGAAGTTCAAATTGTACTATGTTAAGAGAATATGCATCAAGATGTCTGCCTTAGATGGATAATATAAAGATGTCTGCCAAAGGTGGATTTTTTATAATTGAGTTTTGACTCAATTCCGAACAGTAGGATTTAAGAACATATTTTGTTGTATTCCATGTATAACATGTACCTAATATATGTTAATTTGTCTTTATCCATGTCAATTGTTACTTATTAAGATGTCTGCTTAAGAGTGGTGACGAAAATTTATTTGATGTTTACATTTAATGTCTTCAAATGTATGCTTGAAGTTATGAAATAGGCTTGATTTTGAAAATCAATTACAACAAACCAGATGATTTCATTGAAATATTGCAAAATTATCTGGCTGGAAGGAAAAGTAATTTATTTATTGTTATCTTAGAAAAGAATATGGTTGAGAGCCTAGATTGCCTACCAAGGCCATTTTTTTAAATTTTTTCCCCCCCCCCCCCCCCCCCCCCCCCCCCCCGAAAAATACTGAAATACTGTACTTCTTGATGTCTAGCAAGTTGATGCATATATGTATTTTTCATGTTTACAGCATGACTTTCGATACATTCTGTTATATGTCTTTAATAGATTGCCCATGTTTTGATTTAATCATGGCCGAAAAAGATTATTAATGTTTAATGTTATGAAATAGCTTGATTTTGAAATTTCATTTTATTTCTCATTTGTAGTCGGTAAATGTTGATGATGCTGAACAAGCTGAAGAGATCCACTGTCTACTGAAGACCACTATACATGTAGATGTTCACGCAGAGGTACATTTATAATTGAATGGCTTTGAGCATGTTGAGTCAAAAACAAAATTGAATGGCCTCTTGATTAAGTAGTGTAATATGAGGAGTTTGTTCAAATTCAATAATGTTTATAAAACCTACTAGTAAATCATTATGTAAATTGTACGTCACAAAAAAATTAATGTCCTTAAATATAGCTGTGGTTTAAACAACTTCATGAACTCCATTATTTTGGAGGACAAACTAAGTTGGAATAACTCGTGTCCAATCCAATTGATTTTATTTCCGTAAAATGTCAAGTAAAGAATGATTGCAAAACGTGGCCCCCAGTGTATTTCGAAAATACATAGTATAGAAAGTAGCCTAATGAGATTAATGAAACAATTCTTATAGGTCTATATCGCAACTTTGCAAAATTACAGTAATTAAAAGTAAGTAAAAATAAAGAACGAGGCTGTGTTTTGTAAGAGGGGTCACGGCAATTCACAAATCTCCTTTGTTATTCAAAGTTATTCCGATTTTTAAAGCTGGAAAGATGAAAGTCATGATATCATCCTCAGGTAATGTAAATTCAAATTTGTTCAGATCATGACCCTGTGTGTAGGGTGGACCCACAATTGATGATAGTTTTACACAATAATAGATAGGAAAAAAGATCAAAGTTTTACATACGAATACACTGAATCTTGAAAAATATTTTGAATAATCTTCTCAAGAATCACTGGGCAAGAAAAAATGAAATTAATGTTGAATGTCCTCAGAATATGATAGGAAAATTCTTGAAAAATCTTCTTCTCAAGAATAGCGAAGTCATTATTGGTCATGGGAACTGATTTTGGATTTAAACTCTTTAATAATTAAGCAATTTCTACTCAGGTGAGCGATGTGGCCCATGGGCCTCTTGTATTAGTTAATGCGTCTTGAACAGATGATCTGGAGTAGTGTCAAGTCAGGGAATATACCTCAAAGAGGTATAAGGGAGGATATGGAGATAACGAACAGTATTCAATCTCAAAGTCCATAAAACAATATGAAGTAAAAGCAGAACAAACACGGACCTTCGAAACATCAGAGGTGGGATCAGGTGCCATGGAGTAAGCATATCCAGCTGACCGGTCACACCCGCTGTGTGCTCCTTGTCATGATCAGGAAATAACGGAAGAATCCATTATCAATTCATTGTATAAATAATGGACTAACAATAAGTATGAAAAACGTAAGTCAGCATTTGACTCAATGATGAATTGTATTTGCTGACAAGGTCATTGTATCGATCATAGAACTTACGAAATGATGACTTTAATTTTAAACAAGAAGGCTGATATTCTTGTTTCATCAACTTACTTGTCAATAATTTACCTCATTTTAGAAATTGTTCATATGTAGATCAAGCTCTTACGTATGGAATCAACTGAAATATATATGTATACTCCGTATGCAGGTGGAAAAAGTATATTGCTGTATAAGTAAAGGAATGACGATAGAAAAGTTAAAGTTATCATGTTTATCATATAGCTTGGTTGTTATAAATGGTTTTTTCAGTATAATAACAATTAAATATTTAAGATGGTGGCGATTTGAGAATCTAGTTGCCACATGTACAAGAAGCATCTCTATCCTTTGGAGTTAAATTGTTCATTCAACTTCAAATCATTTAGTTTTTTTTTCTTTTTTATGTTTATAAGCAGAAGTTGTTCAATGTGTTAATGTTGGTAGTTTTATTCAGACAAAAAGCTTTGCCAGTTTTTGTAATTTGCCATCCAAAATTTAATTTTTTTTTCCAGGTTTATATCTTTGGACAGAAGAAGACACAAACAGAGTCATAAAAAGGGATTTCCATGATTGGATTAAAGGGGATATAGTCTACCCAGTTTGTATTTATTATTCTTTTCAAATTTCAGTCATACTGTGATAAATTAATCTAATAACAGCATTGTGGCAGTGCTTTTTAAAGAATTACGCATTTTTAAAAAAAATTTCAAAGTGCGATAAATTTAGGACCAACTCTTTGAATTTTTTTTTCAAAGTGCGTTAAGAAAAAAGATACAAAGTTATAATTTTTTTCTAAAAGACCCCCATTTCCCTTTTTCTATACATTTATCAAAACCTAAAATATTTAAAATGTCAATATCTCAGATCCTGTGACCTTATCATAAAAAAGTTTTATAACCAGGGTCAATAATTTATCATACAGATTATTTGTAAGAATATAGATCAAGCTTTACATTTTTTTCAAAGTGCGTTAATATGGTCGATATCGCAAAGTGAAAAAAATATAAATTTTTTCAAAGTGTGTTAGCGTGGTCCCAAATTTAACACACTTTGAAATTTTTTTTTCAAAATGCGTAATTTTTCAAAGTGCTTTGTTACACAACATTTATGACATAAATAAGTGTGTTGTAACACAGCATTTATGAACTTTTGTTATTGGAGTACATAAAGATACGCAAACACGAGGTTTTTTGCAATACATTTTTTTCTCATATAGCATGCTATAAATTTCTTTCTCCTTACAGGTAAAACATGTCTGGAGCACTACTTGAGAGAATCTACTTTGTCAAGTACACACTGCTTTAACGCCGAACAAGAATAATGAACGAAACAGAACAAGAGAAGGACCAAAATGTAATAAGTGATGGAAAAAAATTTATTAACCATCTAAACTTACTTTTACTCCATAAATCTTAGGTAATCTAAGTTACTCTGTGACACAGTCAAGTTTTGTATATGATGCTGATAGAGTTTGTAGAGACATGTAATGAATAAAGCGTCCTTCACAAAGATTGTACATGAAAATTCATTACCGAGTTATTTTCCACCCGTCATCATCTTTGGCATTGCTGTCACCATCCTTTAAGACATAAGGTGATCTTGTATAGACTTGTAAAATTTCTGTCCTTTAAATCCCATACTTAAGTTCAAATACATGTCATTAACATGCTGATGTTCTATTGGTATTTATGGTTATAAATTGATTTTACAATACTGGTAATGATTATTGACTGGTTAAATGTGGAACAAAATCATTTTAAACAAATCAAATTTTCAAATGATTGTAACTTCAGGGTAAGATAGATTAACAGGATAATGCTAGCAATATTTTTACAGATGCACAATTTGGTTTGTACAGTCATAAAGAAGATACTTATATAGGAGGAAATATTGTATGGTTGTATTATTGACTATCAGAAAGCATTTTATGATGAACATATCTTGTTTTCAATATAGACTTACCTCACAATTAGGGTATACATGGTTAATTGTTTGGAATTATAAAATCAGTGGGAAAGTGTATTTAAAAACTGTATTAATGATATATGGAGGTAACATAGTTCTGTCAGATTATTGTAATATATACTGGGGTGTTTTGTAAAATGAAATACTTTCATCACTTTACATTTATTGACTGAGTTCAAGGGCAACATGCGTTTTGTCGGACCCAAGAATCAAACTGTCTGCCTGAGGGTGTTAGGTTTTGTTATAACTTTCATTTTATTTTAATTTTTTGACTTACATGTATTTTGTACTATATTTCATGATGTAACATCACGTCTACCACTGTTTAACACCAACATTTGAATATGAGATTCAGTTCTGTCCATTCTGTGACGTAAACGGTCCAACATCTCTCCGAGCGGTCCAACATAGATTTTTTTTCATGCCCGCTGAGCAAAACATTAAGATATGTTAGACTTTTCTTGTATAGATTTGTATAGGAACACATTTTTAAAGGTATGAAATGTTATTTCATTACACTAAAATGATCTTGAAATGCATGTTTTGAATAAGAATTGCCTTGATTGAGATACAAATGAAGATAATTTTTTTTTAATTGAAAGAAGGCAAATGATATTGTTTTGGTTGTAAAACAAGAGCAAGATTACAATAATTGTTTTAATGAATTGCATTCTTTGGAAGGGATTCTTTTTACAATTATAAATATAGGGGAAAAAACCTAAATATTGTTTTTAGAAATGGTGATACATGAAATCAAATGAAAAAATAGAATTATTGTGATCAAAACATTGGAATGGTGAACCAGTTTTAGTACGATATTTGATTTTATAACTGGGATTTATTTTCGAACCCAGAAATTTTTTTTTAAACCAGAGAAAATGTCATGTACAGCTTGCATTATTTAAATAAAGTGATTTAAAAAAAATTATATATGTAAATGATATATTGTGCTATGCAGTTAATATTGGGGTATCAAAAGGTCATTTATTATAGAACAGATATGCACAATGTACTGTAAGAGAATTCCAAGGGTTAAACAATGCACATTTAATAGCGTGATTTGAATATGGAAGCTTTCCACTGGTGACAATTGAAAAATGAAAAAGTAATACCCCGGTAGTTGAAAATGCAATGAAATAATTCATTTTTTCAAGATATGTTAGAGAATGGAGATAATGGATTATTATCCCCCCACCCCACCCCCCGCTTGAAAAGTGGGAGGGTATATAGTAATCGGTAGGTCCGTCCATCTGTACGTCGGACGTACGTCAGTCTGTTACGCTTTTTGGTACCCATCTCTTATCTACAACTCCTCTTATACCACTGAATGAAATTTAATGAAACTTTCAGAGAATCTTTATTACATTTTGCAATTGAGCACCTCTTATTTTACTTTTTGAACTAACATACATTTTGGATTTTGCAGAGCAAAACATGGATACTGCCATTATATTCATTTTGGAGGAGGGTGGGGGGGGTATCATGTAGTGAGCTCATTGCTCACAGTACCTGTAGTTGATAATAGAAATGATTTTATCAAAATAGATTAACTGTGCTTAATGACCGTATTGTACGTTGTATTGAAGAATTTGTGATGTTTTCAAACAAGTGCTGAGGAATATTTGTACTTTCTCAAAGGATGTCTTGAGTAAAAACATGGTATATTATTTAAATTGATTTGTTATATTATCTGGGTAAGCTAACACACACTGCAGAAGGATATGGAGATAACGAACAGTATTCAATCTCAAAGTCTAAAAAACATTACAAAATAAGAGCAGAGCAAACATAGACCCCCGGAACATCAGAGGTGGGATCAGATGCCATGGACGAGTGAGCATCCCCTGCCGACCGGTCACACCCGCCGTCTTCTCCTTGTCATGATAATTTCATTTTATACTGAAATGTCCAAAATATGCATCTCTGAGGGAAAAGTACCTAATAAATTACTACTTCTTTCACTTAAAGCAGAACACAACTCGTAAATAGGCATACACCATTTTACCGTTTTATCTAATCGAACGCCCCTTTTATTCATGGGCTAGTGAGTATGACACTACATGGCGCTGATGTCGTTTCAGGCCTTTTCGTTGTACTAAACAGTCATGAAATCAGACGAAGAATATATTGAAATCCAAAGTAAATTAGAGAGGTTTAAACAGTGTTTTGAATACCTTTGACCTGAAAGCTGAAGAAAACTACAGAACTTTGATAAAAGTATGGGAATCTGTAATTATATGTTGTAAGATAATGGTTTGTTGAGAAAAAGTGTTGGATTCTTATGGAGTTCCATTCAAACAATACTTGTAGTATTTGCTTAAACAGATAAAGAGATTGGCGGTGTTATGCGGCTTTAAAACATTCCATATCAAGATCTGCAATAAAAACGGTGTCGAAATATAGATTTGCTGTCAATTAATTTTAAAAGTTATTTGGGGAAGTACGCCGGAAAAGTATGAATCTCAGATAATCTGAAGGGATTTACTATAACGGACCCTGAAATAATATTCAGCAGTAAGAAGTGATGTATTATAGGATTCTAGGTCAAAAACTAATGTATTTAAGGTCAAAAAGTGATGCAAAATCGAAAACATTTCTAAAAGGGATCAAAATTCGGAGGATTTTTTATTTCTGTGAGCATTGGAAGTGCATCTGAAACATGATAAATGCGACGTAATTACGATAATTCCGTGTGTACTGGAAAATAATTCTAAAAGGGTGGCAAATTTGGAGTAATTACATTGGAAATACATTTTAAAATTGTTTTTATCTCATTTGTTCATTGTTGTTGTTGTTTTTTGTTTTATGCATCTCAGTTGGATATTTAAACATTGGCGTCAGAAGCAAATTGAAAAAGGGGGGAGGGGGGTGGGGGGCAAGGTGTAATAAGAAAAGGGAATGTGCGTTAGCAGAACATGTAAATCCTGGGGGGGTACATGTACCAATCAGTTTTTTTTACACCAACACTAAACTTATACTGCAACATGCTGTGGATAGGGGGAATCTTAACCTACGCAGCAATGTCTAATGCCTACACAAAATCTGTCTTTGGAAAAAAAAATAAGGTGGGGGGGGGGGGGGGTGGGGAGTAAGCCCCCCCCCCCCCCTTGGTTCCGACGCCCATGTTTAATATCCAACCAAGAGGCAGTTGGACAGTATACGTCCCCTTAAAATGGTATTATTAAGAGTAAATGGCTATTAAGGGTATCGTCTAGAAATAGTGTTTAAATGTAGAGAGAGATTATAAATTACTTTTATAACAAAAAGTTGCGAGTGGTATGTTTTTGACCCGTCAGTTAGTCTGTCAGTCCTTTTCTATTTTTATAAGCATTCTTAAACAGCTGCATAAGATTTCATGAAATAATGTAGATAATTAGGACACAATGTATAGATGTGCATATGTGGGGGGGGGTGTACATGTAGGCTTGCGACTTTGCTTTAAGTCATTTGAAATCTAAACAGCATGCTTTTTGTTACAGTCCCCAGATTTTTAAGCTGATCATATACGTAAGTTAGAAAAGTTATCTTCGTTTACTAGATCTTTACTCTTCTTAAAATCAAATCTAGAAAATATTGTCCCTTTCATTTGGAAACTTTTCCGAGAATGAATGTTTTGGATCATTCACCAATTTATTGTATTATTTTCGGGTGGGGGGTGTCTACAAGGATCAACCGCATTATTTTTGGTGGGGGGTGGAGGGGGGGGTGCGTGTGTGAGAGTGTGTGTGTGACTTATTAATTCTTGTCCTAAAACACTGTGGAATAATACCATTTTTTCTTTATTTTTTTTTTATTTTAGAATAATAAATTTAAGATCTACTTTCTCATAAATGCCGTTTATCTCAAAGGGAAAAAATCATTTATGGAGGAAAATGAAGTTAAAATGAAGTGAAATACACACACCTGTTTTAGAGAAGTAAACGTGTGCCACCAGTTGATTCGAACAAGGCGCCACTATAAAAATGTTGAATGTCAGTCTCAAAACATCCGAGCTTTTCTAATTAAAAGGACATTAATAATTAAACTGTAATTTAGGAAATATTTTTCATTTTCGGGATTTTTGTACATTTAAACCCTATCAGTACCCCCTGAAAAGCTTTATCATAAACATTCCTTCGATAAAAAATCTCTCAAAATATCAGATTCTTTGAGGGGTGGGCGGGGGCTGGTTTGGAACGGGCTTCCAAGTCAACATGTATGCAAAAGTTGACTTTTTTTCAATGAATATCTTCTTTTATAATCATTGAATAAATTGAAAATGCATATGAATATATGAAATTAAGGTTCTTTCGTTTTAGCAATCTAAAGCACGACAACTATTGTACGCCCTTCTATTCATGAAATTATATATAAATCCGATTAACTACATATTATCTCGTATGTGTAACATATGATCTTGTACATATCACTACCAGGGGTAAATGTAATCTCGTTCGTACGACTTAGTAGCTCGTTCGTACGACTTAGCATCTCGTTCGTACGACTAAGTATCTTGTTTGTACGACCTAGTAGATCGTTCGTACGACTTATTATGTCGTATGTACGACTTAGTATCTCGTTTGTACGACTTAATAGCTCGTTCGTACGACTTAGCATCTCGTTCGTACGACTAAGTATCTTGTTTGTACGACTTAGTAGATCGTTCGTACGACTTATTATGTCGTATGTACGACTAAGTATCTCGTTTGTACGACTTAGTATCTCGTTTGACAACTTATTATGTCGTACGTACGACTTAGTGTGTCGTATGTACGACTTAGTATATCGTTTGTGCGACTTAGTATATATCTCGTTTGACGACTTATTATGTCGTACGTACGACTTAGTATCTCGTACGTACGACTTAGTTTCTTGTTTGTACGATTTAGTTTCTTGTTCGTACGACTTACATAATCTCATACGTACGAATTAGTATCTCGTACGTACGAGATAATATGTCGTACGTAAGACATTATCTAGTACGTACGACTTAGTATCTCGTACCTACGACTTTGTATGTACGTACGTACGCCAAGGATCTACATGTGTATATTAGTTCTCTCCATTTGAAATCAAAGTCACTGCTGGTAAAGTGCGAATCGAGAAAATCTTGTCTTCGGACACTCGCTACTGTTGGCACCTTTGAATTGTCTAGTTGGATATAGGCCTATATTTTTTTTAAAAACACAGTAAATATCACTTTACAGAATGTTAATGTTAAAGACTTAAGCGATGGGATTGCCCTCATACCCGAAAAGTGCTCAATATCGAAACATGCCCAGAAAATGACTGTTGACACCGTGTTTTTCACGGACTCGCATTCGAAAGGTACATTAAGTTCTACAGGACTGATTGGACAGTTACGTGGATAACTTAAACTTTAATCCAATGCTTTTCTAGGCCATGTACACAAACAATGTGCTTTAAATGAATTATTTCCATGGAATTCGCCAATAACTATCAAATTAATTTTTTAGGTGCTACAATTGGTTTCTGTTAATTAAATTTTGACACAGTCTACTTTTGATTTGTGTAATTTTGTTGAGACTGTTTTCCACCTATCAAATAATTTATCATTAAGTCGTTTTTAGCTCTACTGGTCAGAGACGAGAATTAAGAGCTTATGCGATAGTAATGTGTCCGTCGTCCTTCCGTCTGTCTAGCTTTCCATCCATCTGTCTGTAAACATTTTATTTTTCAAAATGCTACTCCTCTTACAGTTTTGGTCTGATTTCAATATACAGTAAAACTCCTGTCCTAGGGACCTATGAATTTAATTCGCTATTACATATTTCGTTATATCCGTATATCGAATTCGTATAATCATTTATAGCGAATACACAATATGCCTGTTTTCCTTCAGGTATTACTACCAAATATGTTTGAAAAGCAAATATTACAAAACATACCTTCGATAAACTAAGGTTTTATTATGAATATATTTTTTTTATACAAACGATAAAAGAAAACAAAGTCAGTTCAAATTATCAAATTGTGAGATCTTTGAAAGTTCGTAATAAAAGACGTAAATCTCATTATATTTAACCTCAACGGAACTCAAAATCAGTTCGATATATCAGTAAATTCGTCATATCAGAGTTCGTTATAACCGTAAAATTTTACACAGATTTGTTAAGAATTTTGCCGGGGAACCGGTAAACTTCGCTATATCCGTGAATTCGCTATATCCGTGTTCGTACTAAACGAGTTTTACGAGTTTAAAACTTGGCACACAACTAGACTACACTAAGATACATTATTCTGTAACAGTTTTTCAGTTTTTGATTTCGATAAACGGTGTTGCTGTTTTTCATAAAATAGAGATGGTTTTGGTTGCTAAATATATCAGTTTTGGAAATTCGGAAATTTTAATCAGTTTAAAAAAAAATATTGATGTTATGTGGAAAATCTAGTGCAATCCATCATATAACTTATTTGATTTTTAAAAAACGAGCAAGGGCTGGACATTTAGATTGCTAGTGGAAAGTCCAGTGTAGAAAAAAAATATTGACAAATTCTTTCAATTCTTTCATCCAATTGTTAGGTCTTTGTTCTTATACTAAATTTGATAATTTGATAAATATACTAAATATGATAATTTGATAACGGAATGCTCCGTTTACTTTGATCAATACACAGGGCTTACTCCTCCCAGGCACCTATTCCCAGCTCTAGTATTTCCGGGGGT